AATCGTTCACTCGTCATTTAATTCCACGACATTTTCTAATTTGGCTTTGAGCAAAATCATAAGAGAAGATAGGGATTTCAGATGGGTGGAGGATATCGGTATTCACGTGCAACCGCAGCACACTTTCTTTAGATTCGCACACCACCTAAAATTATCCGTTCTTAATTGGAGAGTTTGTTATACATACATATACTCACTTTACGATTCTTTAATTAATGAGAACGAATAGATTCTCTTCTTCTCCAGAAGAGTGTGTTCTGACATTTCTTTTTTTTTTCTACGCTACATTTTTACCAGACTAGATGCAAAGATTCATTCGTTCATCGAGTTTAATATTATCCTATCCCACGATATATGCTTTCGATCTTTTCTTTTTTTTTTCTTTTTTTGCAAAAATTAACGGAAATAAAGAATCGTTCCGTATCAATTTTTTAATCGCGCGACAAATTATTCGAAATATCCTTGAAATTATACGTATATTGGTTTTGAACGATGAAACGATTATTCGTTCACATTTTTTTTTTTTTTTTAGTTGATGGCATTTTGATGAAAAATATCGATCTCGAAAGTTGGAACTAATAGATTTTGAGAATAAAAAATTGAGAAAAACGAAGGGAAGTTTAGGTGAATTAGGAAAATTTTCAGGAAAGAAAAAAAGATAAGCTTACACGTGTTTGAATTATAATATATTTAAAAAAAAAAAGATATGGACGAGATGAAAAATGTTGAATTTTAAAACGATAGAACAATGAGAATAAGGATTAGATATAAAGACAGGGTGCAGTGCGAAATAGTGCGAAATAGTGCTTGATCCATAGATTTCGAGGGGATTGTGTAACTAGTAATCATACGATGTATATCGTCACTTGGCTCGTTACCATCTTTTCATTCCTTGCGCTTTTAAAATGCGTCAGATCTAGAGGAGCGATCCTTGAAAAGCTTTCCTGTTAATTACTAGCCTTCTTGTCAACAGTTCTCGCGAAAACGCTTATTTCGACTATTTCGTTGTTTTCGGTTAGGTTAGGTTAGATTAGGTCACGCTCTTATTTTATTCTTTTATTTCTATTACCTCTTTTTTTTTTTCCTTTTTTTGATCGAAAATTATTATATTATTTCAATATCACTTCTTCGTTAAATTAGAATAAATACGTCAAATATTTTCAATATAGAAAATATATATATATATATAGAATATAATATAGAATAGAATAATATAAACATATGTGAAATTAATAAACAGTATAAAGTGACTTTGAAATGTGACTTGTGTGGATATAATAATAAATGCTTAATATTCGACTCGCAAAATTAGCATACAAAGAGATCCAAATTTATTGAATATTCTCCCTTCTTAGAACAGCGTACAACACATGCTTCCTCTTTTAGATACAGGTCTAGACACGCTAAAGACAGTGCAATCGCAATAAATTGTTATTTATAGACCGAAGAAATTCTTCGTTTCTGTGGCTATTCTAATGCATCTTTCCGAAATTTTAACATCGAATAATTACAATTTCCAATAAACTCGATAAAACGCTGTTAAAAAGTATATACGTATCGTACGGTCAATCATTAAAATTGATCGTTCGCTGTTTCCTTTCGTCAATTATTATTTACTTCTCGCTTCGTTCGAATAATCTTTTATAACATCGTTTTATAATATTTTATAATTACCGAAACGGAATGGATAAATATGTATATTCACTTTAATTCGTGGAATATTCTCGTTTTCAAACGAGGAACAACGGATAAATAAATTTGGACAGAAAAGAAATACACACGACGATACACCTACGCATCAATCGTTTCATCTCGAGTCAGTTTTATCCGAGTCATGTGGATTTTTATTATTTAATATTCAATTTCTAATATTATTTGCGCGATCATATGAATATATCGCGAAAAAATTATATTTGTTTGAAAAGTGTTATTTTTTTTTTTTTTTTTGTCGCCAAGATTGCTTTTTAGAAAATAATTCGTTCAAAATGTACTAATAATTTCGTAATTTTTTAAAATCATAATTCAACCTATCAATTTTTTTACTTCGATCCTTTTTCCTTGTTAGAATTACGCTATCTTGTTATTACACTACTCGAACATTTAAAATGATCCGATTACAATTGATGTTTTCCCAAGCGCACTCGTCAGTGCTCACAGTCGCTAGTTTCTACGAACCGATATCGTCAATCTGCTACAGTAAGCATCTAGAAACATAATAGAGATATGGTGTATCATTTTTCGACAATTATAGCGATAATAATTCACACGAGTTGAAAAGTGTTCCAATCCATCTGCCGTTATAGTGTATCTAACGATAAAACGATAATGTAATGTCTTATACGTGAATCGGATGATTCGATTGGTTTGCAGATGGGCCATTTGATGGGCCAAACTAGAACGAGAACTTAGTGTTTTGAATGTGATTTTAGATGTCAAAGTGTTACCGTCACATTTCTACGGTTTCTTACGGATTCGAAGAGAAGTAGTAGTGTATTCAAATCAGAAACTATAGACTCTTGAGAATTTTACAATTATTCGATATAAATTTAACGAATTATAAATATATGAGGGGCAAAAAGAAGAAAATAGATATTTTCAAGATATACATCGTATACTTTGAACCATATTTTAATGATAATAATATAAAATCAATCGGTAATTGTACTTTCGCGTATTACGAAAAATATAATTTTTTTATTTATATAAATAACTATTGAAATTTGTTCTAAACATTTCTAAAATATTTTTTCGTCGAGAAGAATCATTGAAATGATTAAATAACGCTTGATATTCTTTTATTCGTGAAACATGAATCGTGATAAAAATTTAAACGTGTTAAACGATGTTATTGTTACAATCGACTACTACGATTTAAATATTAATCATAAATTGAATGTAAATATTAATTGAAAATAGAAATTAGATGTCTAATATCTATATAATATAATATATAGCAGACTTTATTCACTCGTAACAATTTATTAACGCATAATTTAAATAACCTGGTCGATATATTTATATAAACAATCTTATCTATTTTATATAAAATCAATAGTTATCGGTTATATGGAATATCGAGTTGCGTACAAAATGTAAAAGTTTCAAATAAAATCGGAAACAAAATGTATTTAGAAGAAAAGTGCAAACTAAGCAAAAATTAATGAATCGTGTCCTTTCTTTCCTTCTCGTATGTGTATCTCGAATATCAAGAACAACCGGAAGTAATTATTAATATAAGCCAAAATGATAAGCATAACTATATGTATTTATAGCAACAGGCACTTTACATAATTAGCTAATCTATAACGTAATTAGAATGACACGTTCATCCGCGAATAAAATAATCGAAAGTTTGCGCGGCATTGATATTCAAAATATTCAAAGTGGAATTTTTAAATGATATTGAAGGATAAAGTAACGGAAAAAATATTTGTATTGTGAAAATTGTGACGATCGAATTAATTAGTCGGATAAAGAATAAAAGAATCGTAAAGAAGAAATATCATCAACTTACCAAACGTTGTTCCCAAATGTATCGTTCGGTATGTAGCGGGCCATGCTGTTCATTCGGCATGGCGAGATGTGTCAAAAACATACACGACGACGTGTCTTCTTCTTTCTTGACGTTTGAACACGCGCGACACTCGAACAATGTTCCGTTCGAAAATAAAAGATAAGCGACGATTCTAAACATTTTATGAATATACACGCATCGATACAGCATCCACACACCTGACACGTACACGCACACGTATAGCCTAGCTGAGAAAAACGTACACACATCAAGCATACATACAATCGCAAAACATACGTGATGTCACATGCATATACATTGGTCGATTGAACGAAACGAGCGTCGGATTCCCATTTAACGTGATACGCTTTTGAGCATGATTTAAGAATGAAAAATCAAGGTAACCTATGTCTGCATTCGAACAATACTGCGGCTTCAACTATATACTTTAGCGGCTCAACCGTGATGAGGAAAATAATTTTCACGAAAACCCGGTTTCCTGACACAAACTGATCGATTCAATCAGAGAAGCTAATACAAAAACGAAACGTCATTTCGTCTTACTAACCTATGCGTTGTACGTCAACCGGTTGTCGCGATTACTCAACGACTTCAAAACATTTCCGCGATACCGACTTGTGCAGATATCACGACGGCTGCCATATTGAAATCTCATTCCATAAGCCACCAACGCAATGCTTATAAAAGAGAGACGATCTCGCAAGATTTTACTAGATGCGAAAAATTTAATCGATACCGGCGACCCCTTAAGAAATAATATAAATCATCAACCGTTATTTATTTATTTAGTTAAATAATATTGAATTAAAATAAAAAAAATAATATATATATATATATATATATATATATGTACTCGCTATCAAATATATGATAATTATATCTTGTATTTTTGTATCGATAAAATTATTTTATCTGATCTGGTAAAATTTAAAAAATAATCAATACAATAACGATGATATAATTTTTATATAATTTTTTATTTTAATTAATATTAAATACAATTTTTTTGCAAATATATAATATCTTATAAATAATAGCAATAATGATAAAAATTTGATATATAATTCATAATTATGAATTAATTGTATTAGTTTTATCTATGTCTTAACGGTTTAAATAACAAAAATGATAAAATAATATAAAATTATTTATGTTAATAAACATTAATTATTATTTATTTCACGTTATCACGAGATAAATATTCATTATTCTCCTTCTTTTTTTTTTTTTTTATTTCATCTATGTACTTTACAACTTTTTAATTATGAGACTTATTTGTATAGTAAAAACGTGTATAATAAAATATTTTGAATATTAATTTTTCAAGAATTTATTTTTAACGATATTGTATCTTTCGTGAAAAATTATTATTAATCGGTAATGCAATTTATGTTTGCTTATTGACATATTAAATCGTAAGCAAGAACGACGAGTAAACGAAGACTGGTTTCTCTTCTTTATTACTACGTAATCTATGTTTCAACAATGTATTGGACATCTGGAAGTGGTAGTGAGTTTTTCCCGCGTTTTAAATTGAATGTTCAAAGATGGGAGGTGAGAATGATATCGATGAATCTATGGATATTGAAATTTTACCGTCAACGAGTGGTTATAACGTAAAAAATAACAAGCAGAAAGATGGAAAATTGGATCACTTGCCATGGTATGTTTTTCATAATATTCGTGGAATATTCGTTTTCTCGCCGTTAAATCGAATATTTTCTTTTTTAGGTTATATTCGTTCGTTAATTTAATATGTATTTATATAAGATAAATGAAAAGAAAAGGATAAAGAATTAAAATAAATTTTTGTTTTAAGGATCGAAAAATATCGACCGCAAATATTTTCCGACATCGTTGGTAACGAGGATACGGTTTCCAGATTATCGGTTTTTGCTCAACAAGGCAATTGTCCCAATATCATCATTGCTGGTCCACCAGGAGTTGGTAAAACTACGACTATATTGTGTTTAGCTCGTATTTTATTAGGACCAATATTTAAAGAGGCAGTATTAGAGTTAAACGCTTCGAACGATCGAGGAATAGACGTAGTAAGGAATAAAATTAAAATGTTTGCTCAAAAGAGGGTAAAAATCTTTTTTCTTTTATTTCTTCCACTCTACTCTACTTCTATGCTCACTCCATTTTTTTAAGTTAGTTAATTGTATCGATTCAAATTTTTAAAGGTAAATCTGCCAAAAGGAAAACACAAGATAATAATTCTAGACGAAGCTGATAGCATGACTAGCGGTGCTCAACAAGCATTAAGGAGAACGATGGAAATATACAGCAACACGACTAGATTTGCGTTAGCTTGTAATTCTAGCGATAAAATTATCGAACCAATACAATCACGCTGTGCTATGTTAAGATATGGAAAATTATCGGATGCACAAATTTTAGCAAAGATTATCGATATTTGTAAGAAGGAAGATGTAGGTATATATTTTCTTAAATTTTTTATTCTATTATCTCTCTATTTGCGTGGAAAAATGTTATCGTGATATATTTTTTAATTTTTTATTTTATTATATTTAACCAGGTTTCGCATACGGATGATGGATTGGAAGCAATAGTGTTTACCGCGCAAGGTGATATGAGACAAGCCCTAAATAATTTACAATCGACGCATAATGGTTTTAATCACGTAAATAGTGAAAATGTTTTTAAAGTTTGCGACGAACCACATCCATTACTCGTTAAAGAAATGCTTGAATTTTGTAAAGAGGGCAATATTTCCAAGGCATACGGGGTGTGATATTTTACTATCTTACCATCTAAAATATCTATCTAATCCGATACATGAATATAAAACGATTTTTCGTAATGTTATATTAATACAGGTAATGGAACATTTATGGAAAATGGGTTATTCAGCGGAAGATATAATTAATAATATATTCAAAGTTGCAAAAAAATCTACTCATCGATGAAACGTTAAAATTAGATTTCGTAAAAGTGAGTTTAAAAATTTACATCAACTTTGTATACAATGATGTTTATATTATAATAAATATTCATATACAAGATGGTATAAATTTAAAATTTTTTTCGTTTCAGGAAATTGGGATAACTCATTTGGGAATAGTGGATGGAGTTAACAGCTTGTTACAAATGAACAGTCTTCTTGCCAGACTTTGTAAAAGAGCATTGCAGTGAAAAAAAAAAGAAAAAAAAAAGAAAAAAGAAATGTACAATAACAAGATGTAGAAATCGATAATTTAGAGAAAAAATTTATTTATACGTTTGTATTACATAATTTTTTATTTTAAAATGCCTTTGTTTTTTTTTTTCAGAAACAACGATCATTTCATCATATTTGAATTAATAATTATAAAATACATATTTGGACTAGCAATTGAAAAAAGATATTATAGATTTGATATTGTTAATACACGTATATATATATGTGTATGTGTGTGTGTGTGTGTGTAAAAGCTAGAGCTATTACAATCGAGAAAGAAATATATTAGAAATAAGAAAAAAATTCTAGAATTCTAGAAAAAACAATCTATTAAATCGAACGAAGTTATATAAGTTTACGCTTCGCGTATTTTGTACGAAATACGTTTGTTCAACATTAATCGATCGATTTAAACGTAATTTGATAATAATAATGAGATGTACAATGAAATACTTTAGGCGTTGAATTATCGTTCAATTAGTAGTTAAAAACGTGAAATTTAAAAAAAAAAAGGAATATTATATAATAAAAAAAAAAAAAAAAAAAACGTAACGAACAATGGTAAATTCAAAATGTAAGTTCAGTCTTTTCGTTAAAAAGTCGCGTTAGAAAAAAGTTTAAAAATATTATTTACACGTCGTATCGTAAAAATTGTCGTAATCCATCATCGAATAAGATCGAAGATGACGTTGATGAAAAAAGATCGATCGTTTTTTATCTTCTCGTCTAACACCACTTTTCCATGGTGACAGATGTTAAATGAGGCCTCGGCTTGGGGGAAGGCCATCGTAACGCGCTCTGACAAGATTCCGCTCTGGAAGGTGTCCTCGGTGGGGGTTGAGACGCGTTAGAGAACGATTCTCCCGTTTGATTATTCGCATCTCCGTTCGATTCCGCTCGAATACTTTTTTCCAACGGTGATGGGTCACTTTTGTGATTTCTCTTCATCGATTTTTTCACCACGTCATGAAGCGTAGCTGGTGGCGCACTTTCTACAGATTGAAGACTAGCTGCACGATGTAACGATAATCGAAGCGGTTTTTTCGGTGGTGCCGGACGAGATTTCGATTCTTGAGAATTATACGGCGTCGATACGTCAGAATTCTCCGACGTTCGCGATTGAGAATCCTGAAACGAAAACGAAACGAGATGTTAAAGAAGAAGAGGGGATAATTTAATTCCGCAACGAATGAACGAACGTTGGGCAACGTTGATGGGAAAAAAGAGAAATACATTTTCGATCAAACGGATCGAAAATTACGAAGGGAATACCTGCAATCGATAATAGGTCGGTTCGGAATCAAAGTCCAACGGTTGCACTCGAGACGAATTTTTCCGATTGTTGGACAAATGTTCCATAGCTGATTCGACGCGCGGTGGTCTCCTGCGTTGCAGTTGCGACGAAATTTGCGCCTCCTTGCAATCTAAACTCGCCGTTGATCCAGTTACCGAAGATCCTTGATGTTTTTGTTTAGTTCGCGATTTGTGATGACCGTTGGAAACGCTAACCAACGAGGAATCAACAAGTTCGTTCGAAATTTTCACGTCTATCGAGCGTTTCGAATGATCGCTATGCCTATTTCTTACCGTTGGTAAACTCTGCCGCAATTCCATCGAATTTCTTATATTGAGACCAGGTAGATTTGCGACTAGCGCAGTTACCTGTGGCCCTTTTTGAAAAACCTAAACGAAAAAAAGAATAAACGTGAAAATGAGAGAGAGAGAGAGAGAGAGAGAGATCAACCTTGTTGTTGTTATGTCGCGATTTTAATAATTTTTCTTCTCTTATCCCCGATACGACCTACCTGAACTTGTTCTTGACGGGTCGGCGGAGGATCGGCGGGGACCTCGGATCTGCTCGGCGCGAGAAGATCCCTGACCTGCTCCTCCAGATAACCGATCCTATGGGTCAGTCTAAGATTATCGGATCGAAGTGTGCGAAGCGCCGTGAGGGATTCGCCTTTTCGAAGGACGACGATTTGCGCCGCGTCGGGTGCAACCGCCAACAGCCTTGCCAAATCGCTTCTCCCCGCTCCCACCACAAGTTTTCCGTTCACTTCCAAGATTCTAAACACAATCGTTTCGCACGTTAAGGCCGAGCAACTTTAAGCAACTCAAGTTTATATTATTTCTCGGAAATAAGAAAACGTTTGCTCTTCCAATTGCAGACTGAAAAGAAAAGAGTAAAACTCACGCTTGCATACTGTGCGTTATGTTGTATATTTTTAAGTTACGCGCAGTCAAGGTGGAAAAATAAAAGGAGGAATATGAAATCGCGGCGGATGAAAGGTGGAAGGGAGGAGCGTGGGGAGGGTCATGCGAAGTCGTAGGTGCAATTAGCGAGGGTACTCGGCGGACTTCCGGCCCTCGTTCACGCTACGATGACCCGTTGGGAACCAAATGCCAAGATCGCGCTATTGTTCTACACCGATAGCTAGCCATGTTACGCAGCGTTGCGACGCGCGCAAACGCGCCTCTTCCTTCGCCTTCCTTCCCATTTCTATTTCCCTGTCTCCGCTCTCTTCCTTCCCGTCTTTGTTCTTCCCCGAGGCAAACAAATTTCCTCCTCGTTTCCTCCTCGTTTCCTCCTCGTTTCGAGGAGAAACGCTCCTTCTTTTCCTCCTCGTCGTAAAATCCTTCTCCTCCTCCTCCTCCTCCTCTCCGCGCCAGAGAAAGAAACACGATCCCTTTTTTTTCTCCGCGATAATCGTTTCGTTCGCTTACGGTCGTACGGAGGGAAGGAGAAGGGAGAGAGGGAGGAGTTTATCGGCGGAGAAAGAGTCTCGGTTCGGGAGATGACGTACCGTTACGGAAAAGCGGGGACGAGTAACGTTTTGTCGTTCGCCGTTTTTTTTTTTTTTTTTTGAACGTTTTTTTTTTTCACTCGAGGAGGAAATAGATGGCGTATACGAAACCTATCCCCCTTGCACAATCCGGAATCCTCGACCGCCCAATCGACGTACAAGCCAGGCGTGTCCTCCCTCGGCCCGGCTCCGAAACGGGGACTTTTCGGATCAGCGCTCACTTCCACCGCGTGGATCGTCACTTGAGCGGAGCCAGAGATGCAACTGCGATCAGAGAACGTAACATATATCGCGTGTAACAGAGAAACTTAACCGTTTAACCGGATAAGCGTTACGATATAGTACCTGAATATCGTGTCGTTTTTCTGCTTTTCCTGGGTCTCCGCCAATTCCAAAGCGGCTTGGAGAGCTCTGCTCTCCTCTCGAAGCGTCAAAAGTTCGAGTTCCTCCCGTCCAAGTCTGTACTCCAACTCGGCTTGTTGAATCCGTACGTCGATATTGCTGCGGATAAAAGGAAGGGCAAAAAAGAAGAAGAGAAATTTCGACATGTCTCGATCTCGTTGTTCGGTACGTCGGTCACTTACTCGGTGATGTCCAATCGTTCGAGGGCCAATTTCAAATTTTTGATCGCCAATCGTTTGTTGTCCGCGTCCCGGCGCAACCTTTGAAGCCGTTCCTCGGTCGCTTTTCTGTCCGCTTCGGTCAGAGGCGGGCCACCGTTTCGCAACGCCAATCTGTTGGTCAGCGTGTTGCACAGTTGCCCTTTCAACCTGAAACCTCGTTATCCGTCATCTCGATCTCGACCCGCGACCTCCTTTCTACAAAACGGTTTTTTCTCACGTTTGAATGATATTCTCCTTGTCCCGCAACGCTATTCTAAGGGCATCCAATTCCTTGTAATGGTCCCTGGTGTTCCGGTGGGGACCGGGCGGGGACGTTAACCCGCCGGAAATACTTCCACCTTTCTTCCTTCTCGGCGTGGTCGATAACGATACTTCTATACTGGCCATCTGGAGACAAAAGAAAAATACGAAAAAAATGGATATCGGACGATAGTGGAAGGAATGCGCGGATCTTAATGGAGTGGCGCATCGGTAGTGCACACGACTCGGAGGGGGGAGGGGCCACTCGATGGTCCTTGAGAAAGCAGCGCTTGCTCCCTCGTCGTGCACACGACGCGGAGAAGGTCAATGTCGGCCTTGACTGCGCGGTGGAAAGAAGGATGCGAGAGACCTCGCTGCAGTGTGTCCCACCGACCCACCACGAAATATATATCCTCCCAAACCGATCTTTCTTTCCATTCCCTCTCGCCTATCCTTCTCCGTGATTAAATTCAAAATAGCCTCCTCGAGAAATATTCGAGAAAAAAAGAAAAGGCTTAATTTGGATTCGTTTTCATCCGCGTTTAACGTCTTCCTTCTTTCCACGTCTCGCCTTTTTTCGCACCGAAACCGATTATCTTCGAACCGAGGTTATTAAGGATCCCGACGAAACGTACGAAACTCCTATTATTTCGTTCGAGAATCCAAGCTTCCACGAACAGGAATTGAAAACAATTCTTTTCGTTTTTGTTTTTTCCCTTTTTTTCTCTCCAAAAAACTCGAACGTACGTATATAATATGCGCTTTCGAGAAGAGCGGATTAACTTTGACAACTACGATACCTTGGTTCTCTCGTCTCATTGTCTGCAGAGGAACGAGCGGTATCGAGATTAAAAATCATTTTCTCGGGAGAAAGGATAAAATTGTGGATAAAAGAAGTGGAAAATAATAATAAACGAAATTTCTCGCGGGGGTCATCGAAATCTTGTTCGAATCGTTTGTAATTACGGACGTAATTAAACGTAGGTAGGAATAATTATTCGACGATATAAATAAAATTTGATTTGATCGCCGAGGATGAAATTTCTCCAAGCAAAGTTTAAGCAAAATCGTGGAAAGTACGGGTTTTATTGTTGCACGTACGCGTACGTATATACACGGTAATAGAAAACAAAAGGCAATCCGAGTTCAAGGCTTTCGGTTCGAGTACCGTGGAACACCTTTTTTTCCATGAACGCGTGACTTTCCGACAACGGCACAGTTTCAAACGATACGTTTAACACGAAATCTTATGTATATCGACCAACCTGTTTGTTCTTTTTATTTGAATTATATATATATATATATATATAATTATATAAAATATATAAAAGGAAGAAGAAGGAGAAGGAGGAGCGTGAAAATAATTAGAACGGTTATCCGCGTAACGATAATGGAAGGATAATATTGGCAAAAGAAGGGGTTATTTTTATCTCTCGAAGGAGGGAGAAAAAAAATGGAACTCGAGGCGGACACGCGCGCAAGAGGGGGTGAAATAAGAAGGGAACGCCGCAAACACTTTCCTCTCCCCTCCTCCTTTTACCTCCTTTAAAAGCGTGGATGGCGATCCCCGTCTCCTACGTTCCACAACGTCAATTTTTTTCGAGCTTATCGCGCGAATTTGCGCGAAGAAGATCCTGGCCACCCTCTTCCTTCGTGTTTCCATTCATTTTGCTTACTCGCACGTTTCAGATTTTTCACCTTTTTCTATATCCATCAAAAGGATTATTATTCTTCTGTTTTTTAAAAAAACGGGAAGTTCGCGATGTCGCGGAATGTTGAGAGGACGAAATCTCGTTGGAGTATCGGCGGCGTAAAGGGCACTGACTCCTGGATCCGCAATCTCGCCGACCAGATCTGTCTGCGAGCGTTTCGAGCCAAGGGCGTACCGTACTCTACCTTTTCGAGCAGCTACGTTTTCGATTGGAATAATCTCACGGTGAGAAGGCGAAAATACCAAAAAACCGATTTTTAACCGTTATTCGTGTTTATAAAAATGGAAAATTCTATTTCTATTTCGAGTCATTATTTTCTTTTCGAAGTGCGTCGAGACGAGAGATAGGTAGATTCGTTCGTGTAGCGCGCTCCTTCTTCTTTTTTCCTTTCTTTCTTTCTTTAGTTTTGCTTTTCCCTTCGAGTCGAATGGCAAAACAGGACTCGGCCGCTGGCCCGCTCGGGCGTAAACACCCGAATGGTCGAGAAAGTCGATGAGACTGACACCGCGCGAATCGTCGAGACGGGATTAAGAAAATATAGCTGTTGAGAGACGAGAGGACGATGAAAAGGTGCGCGAAAATGCCTACCATTTCGTTCGATGCGAGATGAAAGAAAAAAACGTAGCGATTAAAAACGCGCCTTTATTATTTTACACTGATATTTTTCGAATCGGTGTAATCACCACTGCTACCGGATGGTGGACGACGAAGGAAGAAAAAAGTAATTTTGGAGAATGCTGCGCCACTGCGTGTGTGTCTGTGTGCGGACTTGGGGCAGTTTTAATGGGAGGCGCACGCGCGCACGGTCTCTCCGGGGCCGAAACTGGCGAGTGAAGGGCCCTGAACGAAACACAGTTCGGTTCATGCATCTGCATATAAATCACTGGTTGGACAGGCTTAAAAAGCTGGGGGGCTATTGCGAACCCGCCAATAACCGCGAAACATCGACTTTGGTTTCTTCCGTCGTGTCGGGATGCTACGGTTGAAACTACACCGTATCTTTTTACACGAACCCTTCGAAAACAAAACCTTCCCGAGAGAGAAGAATAATCGCGGCCGTACAATCGAATTCTAAACCAACCATCGAACGGGCGAAATAAAAATCCGTTTTAAAAAGATTTCGGAAATTAACGCGCGTTCATTACGCGATTAATTCGTAATTTTTATTATATACGGATTTACCTTCGCCTCCAACGTCTCCAATTGCGCCATTCTTGGCTCTAGAAATTGCTGTTGCGTCCCATTTCCCGTGTGCAGAGCAGTCTAGAAAACCAAGTAAAATTCGTTATTATTTTTCGAACGTTTTCGCGAGACGAGTCGTCGTCGATTCGTCAGGTATCGCGTATATAGGGGATCGTGGTTTTCCTGTTCGGCATTCGTGTGTCCTTCGTGAGTCTTCGCGGTAAAATAATACCCGTGGTACTCGGCACATTTTTTTACGCACGACGAGTTCTCACCGCTATGCGCAACACGGCCAATAGTTGTCTCTCGTCAACAACGTATATTCTTCTTCGTTCGTTCAATTGTCCTTCTTTTCCCCCTCCTCGCCCCATACGTAGTAACAAGCGTTTGGGTTTCGCGACGATTATCGGTCGGTACAAAACGTGTGTATTGCGGGTCGATACAGATATTACGGGATGACGGGTAAGCGAGCGGTTCTCTCGGGTCGAGAAGAAACGTCGAAACACGATAGAAAGTTACGAAAGCGTGGTTAACGCGTATTCGATGCCGAGAAGAGGAACGAAGCGATTTCAAATATAACAAATTTAGAAAGAGACGCGTGTCCGACGGTTTTCTAGTCGGTCGAGGGGCCCCCAGGCGAACACGCTAGGTGTCGCGCGTGTGTGTGCACGTGCGCATGCGCGTCTAACGACCCAAGCCGAGAAACGACGCGAAAGGGTCGATCGTAGGACTCGCGAGAATTACTATTTCACGGTTTGCTCGCCGATTCTCGCCGCTACAACGCCTCGCTACATCGAATTCTTCTCGCTTCGTCGTTCGCTCTCCCTTCCCCCTCTCGTTTCTCGAATTTCGAAGCTCGCGTTCGTCGATCGAGGGTGTGCTCGCGGATCCTTTTCATTCCACTTACCAGAGAGACGGATCGTTGCTGAAGCTTCACTCCGAGATCTTCCTTCCGTCCCCGCAATCGGTCGTGTAGAACAATACGCTCTTCTTCGATCCCCTTCAACGAAACGAAAAACTCCGATTAATCTCTCGAAATTTCCCTCCCCCTC